ATGTAGAGAATATTATACTTTAGCCAGAGTTAAGAATCAAATACATTGGGGCAACCCTCTCGGGTCCCCTCCCTCCTTGGGAGCTTTGTACTATCACTTTGCTATTTCTCAAAAAAAAACCTTACTTTGCTGCCCACCAAAAAAACAAAAAAACAAAAAAAACCATCAAATACATTGCTTGAAAAATTGTTGGAATTATGTAGGTAACATTTTATTCTGTAGACATTGAAGATGGGGGGAAAAAAAGCCCCTAAGAAACTGTTTGGCTTATCAGTTTAGGAAATCACTATTATTTAAAAATACATTATGATTGGAATGTTCAAATTACAGTTTTAGTGCACGTTGGTAACTCACTCTAACTGATGGAGATAACAAAAATCAAAGTGACCTGAGTCCTTGAGTTTGATATGTCATAGGTGAAGGGAAAGGGTCATGACTTCTAGTTCTCGACCTGCCACTTGCCATAGTAGATGAGGATTTCTCGACAGACCACGCAGCGTGTTCTCTATGGGACACTGTGTTGTGTAGTGCTTTGTCGTCTACTTGCAAATGATCTAGGCAGTGAAGCTTTTCTGCTTCTGTGATGCCTGTTATAATCACCTCTTAAGACAAGCTTCCTCTATCTAGCATGCTTTCTTTTGCTTGATTCCATCTTACTGCTAGCACTTAGGCCCTCTTGGACAGCCCTAAATAACCCTTTGACCCCATGATGTTTGTACACCCTTCAAATTCTTAAGATGGTAGTCATGTCCCCTGTTCCCTTGTCATTTAAGTAAAGTTCTTGCGAGCTCTTCTGTGGGCTGGCTGGGAGTTGAGGCGCAAATGCTTGCCAATCATTTCCTCAAAAGGAAATATTTGAGGGAAATAGTGTGAATGTAGCTGGCTGTTTACAACAGACGTTTATATAAAGGAGTTAAAGTGACAGCTAAGCTCTTACCTTTATGGAATACTTCAGTGAACTTTTTAACTTAATTTTTTTTTTCCTACTCCACTCATTTCTTTGTCATTGGCTGCATCTTATGTTGTAGCCTAAGTAAAACATAAACCAGTTGTTTCTCTGGCAGACAAAGTATAATTGGATTTATGTTTGTCAGAAGACAATCTACTATGGCTTTTACTTAATACAGTTTCACATGTCTTTCAGTGGCAGCAACAAATTAATGTACATTTTTATTAGGTGTTGTATCTATTTAATTGACTGTCAAAGTGATGAGAAGTTAGGAAATCATCCAAAAGAGAGGTCCATCTCCCTTAGCCCAACAGCTCACACATTAGGTAGGTTTGCCCTGTCAGTGGGATGCCTTTAGAAAACACTAATAGCTTCCATCTGGGTGGAAAATCAAAACCTTTGGGGTCTGACAAAACTAGCAGATTTGAATTTGAAAGCAGAGCTAATGCCTCCATTTTATTTTTTACCACTCGCCCATAAAACATTATTTTCCAATATGTCAGCCTCATTTGGTGGCCAGTGGTCTGCAATTGAAAGTGGAACAAGCAAGCGGAGAAATCTGGACATTAGTGAGTCTGCCCTTTCAAGCTGGTGTGCCACTTTGTGGAAGGGTCTCCCCTAAGAGCAGGGGGGTCTTAATGACCATTCATCAATGCTCGTTGGCTGATCATTGAGTGCCTTCTCATTCAGTTTATCAAGTCTTGCACATAAAAAGTCAGAATAAGCCTTATTCAGCTTTGTTAAAGCCAACTAGGAGTAAAATGCTCCATTTGAACCCATTTTACCCTTGTTTTTTCACTTTGTTAATGCAGCCCTGCTTAAATGAGTGCCTTTATTGGGTCGGTTAGAATATCTGAAACTATTAATTCTCTTGTATTGAATAGCTGGTGGCAGGCCAGAGCAGATGGGGTAGGAAAGTATTTGGTTGGGTGTATTGCTTTCAATTAGGATCAATGAGGTTTCAGCTCCTTTGAATTAACTCACTTAATACCCACTGTGTGAAGTCACAATGTATCACAACAGCCTGCTAAGAGCCGAGAGGAAAGTTGAGAAGACCTGTGGAAAAGCTTTAACTGGCATTCGCCCTTCACGGGTGTAGAGAGCTTTCATTAACTGCAGACGATTTCAGTAGACTGATAGTCCCTGTTGGTAAGTCAGGCTTGAACAAAGGAAAAATCTGTAGGACAGGGCTGGTCTGTTTTGGAAATAAGTGAAAGATACCTGGGAGGAAGGCAATACCATAATGCCCTTCTAGTGAAGGATCCAACTTTATTGTCAAAAACCAATTTATGTATTTCAGGGGGAGCCTGACGTTAAGTCGTTGACTAAATTTCCCAATTCAGAAAGTGACCAAAAAAAAAAAAATCACCTTCAAAAAGCTCTGTGTTCTTAATTAAAAGACATGCATTAACTGACATGGCTCTCCTGAGGAAGCACTTAGTTGGTCAGCAGTGTAGTCTCTGTTATTGTTCTGAATATATTTTAAGTATTTTTTTCAAGTTTATTTTTTTTTTTAGTAATCTCTATGCCCAACGTGGGGCTCAAACTGATGACCCTGAGATCAAGAGTCACATGTTCTTCCGATGATGGAGCCAGCCAGGCGCCCCTATCTTAAGTTTTAAAAAAGTATGTTTCCTCATGGTGATGCAGGGCAGTGTTTTTGTACTGGAGAAAACTTTTGTAGTACGTATTCAGTACATACTCTTTTTTTCCCCCCATTCACCTACATAAATGCATTCATCATCTTATTGATTGTCTATTTTTATTATACAATTTGGATGTTAGAGATTTTGGCTCCCTAAGCTCGTTCTTTCTTTCTTTCTTTCTTTTTCCTTTTATTAAAGGGAAAGTTATTTCTGTCTAAGTAACTGTACAGAACTATGTATCCAGGTCTCTCTGTTTAGGGAGAACTGCCAAATGGGGTTGCTGCTTTGCTTGCTTCCGTGGATGAAAGCAGAAGAGGAGGGGACCGGTTTCTTGAGAAAAATGCTGAACTCATCTCAGATGCACACCATTCAGTTAGGCCCTTTCTACAGTCAGACTTCTAGGTGAGAATCTCCAGGGATCTGGGTTTTGTTGACGTGGATCAATTTAAAGTGGCAATTACTGTAGTCAGAGAACAGCTTAAAAAGCTTTTTTTACACATAGAAAAGATATATAATCACACAGCATATGGAAGTTCAGTGTTCTGAGCAGTGGTGTAGGAACTTGCCGTGTACCAGTATTAAGACCCAGTTTTAAACCTGGATATCATCCAGTTTTCTTAAAGTGTATTGCATTTTTGTCATATGATTTTCTATTTCAGAAGTGATTCACCGTGCATATTGATGAAAGTTGGGTCTCCCACTGTGAAAATGTTTTATTCCTAACGTAGGTATAGTATTAAAAAAAATCAGTGACACGTAGCATTGAGTGGCTTTAAAAAAAATAACTCTCTTTGAAAATGAACATCCACAGACTCAGGATGCTGGATTCCAGAAAGGCCCTTATAGCAGGACTTAATTGATTATCATACTCATGCCTACTATAAAGCTTTCTGTCAGAAGAATGTTTGAGCTTGGTGCTTAACTGTACTGAAATCCATTACACAGAACCTCATTACAAGTGACATCTAACTAAGATGAACAAAAAGATTGGCCTCATAAATAGGGTGCAGTATACTATTAGTGACAGAACAGAGTAATCATTATGAATTGTAGTCTTTTTACAAGTTGTCTCTGACAGTGATGGATTTTTGAGGGGTTCACTAGATGAAGCCACGCTTCCTGGGTGCAGTATTTAGGGGCTGTAGACATGCTTATTGATTGACGCTGTTTACCAGAGATGATTTATTTTTAGTTTGTGTAGGGTGTGTGCATGCATGTAGGTGTACTTTGAAACCGGTTGTGTGTACTCTTGGGGAGAGGTGTAGGAAGGGTGAGTAGGTAGAAATCACAGTCGCTGCCTCTGTTTTTCAGATGGGTTTTTGAGATTTCTTTGAGGCAGCAAGTAGGGAAAAAAAAATCAATCTGACAAGGGCTAAAAGCATATGGAAAGTAGTATAAGCAGAGGACATGTCGAAGACCGTGAAGGGACAGCAAGAGTTAAAGGGGATGCTCCTGTCTGTCATAAGCATTGAGCTTGCGGGCTGGGCAGAGACTCCTGAGTGGAATTGTTTCTGTGTTTATAGTGGATTGACCATACATTGGAAAGGTAGAGCCTGCGGAATCTGTCTCATTGTGTGCCCTGTTGTTAAAACAAATAACACACAGACCTTAGGAAAGATTTGCAAGTGTTAAAATGAAGAAGAGTTTTAGAAGCGAACAGTATTTTCCTTCTGCCTGGCATTTTGTGTTTGGAAAAGGCATGCAAGGCAGGCAGGCGTATGTTTCTGCTATGAGGCAAGGATGTTTTACAAAGGACTAAAGAGGGACCGCTGAGAGGAAAATAGCCAGCTTTAGATAAAGCACTGTAACAAAGGCTTGTAGTTTTATATATCATGGTGTCCATTAAAGCTTATGGGGAAGAGTCCATTGAACCTGGCTGGGTATGTGTTATTCATGGGAAGGATAAACATTTAAGGGTGTGCAAAAAATCAGAAATCAGGAGGATGTGATTGTTCAGCTTTTGAAAAGGCTTTACAGTGAAGATTTTGTTTTCATCTCGCATGGATCTCTACGCAAGGTAGAGGAGAGTAAGCTGAAAATGTTTGGAGCATATCAACGCAGGGATCCCAGGGGGTTAAAAGCACTCTAGTAAAATAAAAGTGGTCTGCTTCTGCTTCTAAAAAGTGTTCTATTTTACACATACCACTGAGAAGCTGACAAAGGGAATGATTCGGATACTTTGTTCAGTAGGATAAACTGGCACAAAATACAAAGTCTTAAAAAAAATGTTTTTTTTTACTGTTTTGGATTTCCAGTTCAATAAACAAGCTTTGAGGTTTGTGCCTACGTTTGATTTTTAATAGAGTTTCCAATTATGGCTGTTAATAGAAGATGGAAGGGAAGCCGTTTCATTGTGAGCAGTGGTAGGGGGCCAGTCTACTTTCCATTCTTTTGGCAAAATAAGGGTTAACTTGTAACGGGATGGGGGTGGTGATGAATGAATTATTCAGCGTTTAGCTTATCATTCTGCGTTTTACTTTCTGTTCTTTGGTGCTCTGGAACTTGCCCAGAGAGGTAGAGTGGGTAAGGGGAGGTAAGGGTTGCAATACTTTGCACACACATCCCTGTCATTGTTCTGCCTGAGGAGACAGGGCTGGGTTCAAGGCCACATGTGCTCCTGTCATCATCCACATTTCTGCTCCAAGTGCAATCCGGAGTGTCAGCTCTCCATCTGTCTCTGCCTGGCAGGCGCACGCGCCCAGCACCCTGCCTCGGGCTATGCTGCCCCAGCCCCTTCTGACGGCCCTCCTCTCTCTGCTGGTGCTCATTCCAGAACAGGAGGCATGAGCCCCGATCCCGCTGGATTTTAGGAGAGAGTCACTTTCCGTGTGGACGCTGGATTCAAGGATGCCTGGTGAGTTAGCCCTGCTGCGCGCTCTCTCTCTCTTTCCCTGATTTTGAAATGAAGAAAGCTTACTTTTTATTATGCATGGAGAACACCTTCTGCCCCACGCCGGACCGGATTTTGCATGGGCAGGCAGAGGCTGGGGGTGACAGAGGTGAGGTGTGGAAGGTGGCGGAAAGAGAGCCATCAAGATCTAGATACAGGGGTACAGGGTGTGGAGGCTCTGCTCTGAGAATTTGGGAGGTGTGTTTTAAAGGCAGAGGGGAAGGTACAGCCACGTATGTTTGCCCAGAGCAGCAGTTTTCTTGAGGGATTTAGCTCAAGTAAGAAGTATTGTTTCTGTGATGGATTTTGTGACTGTCATCTGTACCTTGTATCCTGCAAATTTCATCTGCGGAGAGAGTTTTCAGATTATGGCAGAATCCTGGGATAAGGTCTCTTTAAAAAGCTGTTTATGTCAGAGAAAGTGAAGGAAGCTTTGGAACTACAAATAATTTCAGTCTTGCCCTAAATCAACAGTCCTTAGATGTCATCGGGCAAATAATTGAAATCAGTTAATTAAAAAGAAAAGGTCTGCTGGATTGCCGAAGCTGTTGTGGTCCTGGAAATTGAGTGTGTGTCAGTTTCCTCTGAAACATGTTATCTTTGGAGCCTGGAGTGTCTCTGTGATGGTTGCCAGTGAAGTCTCTGCTTGTGGAGAAAGAAGGCTGGGAGAAGCCTGGTGGAGAAACTCGGGTTGCTTCTGCTGTTCTCAAGAACTGTCTGGATTGCCCTGTGCCTACTTTGAGCAGCCCCTCTCCAGATAAAAAAAGATGGGGCAGATAGAGATCCTCCAGCTGGCTGATTTGTGCACATTATTTGGGTAGGACAGGCAGAAGAGGCTGTGCTTGGTCACAGAGTTTGTACACCTCACAGATGGTGTTTTGAAACATTATCTGCCAGTTTTCTGCAACCACAGTTGTGTGTAGGTATTGCCAGTTGTTTGACGAATGTTTTTCCCTTTAGGATGTGTCTTGTAGTCCTCATCATTATTGATATATGTGCAGAAAGGATGCATTTGTGACAGAACTGCACTTTTTCATGAGTTCAGTAGACAAGGAATGTATGTCGCTGAAATATGGGGGAAATCAATTTACAGAAAGACAGTGACTGAGGTCTTTGAAAGGTCATTTTAACTCTTTAAGCTCTCATCTTGATTTACATGCGCCACGCAACTAAAGATGTCATGTGCATTGGGTATGTGATAGGGAATTGGTGTGAAAAAGTGCTTGTGGTGGTGCTGGTGCTGGTGGTGGTGGTGCTGGTGGTGGTGGTGGTGCTGGTGGTGCTGGTGGTG